CTCTCCCTCCCTCCCTCCTTCCTGCTCTCTCCCTCCCTCTCTCTCTTCGGCCCCCCTCCAGTGTCTTATGCAGCCCATTCAGCCTCTGATTCTCTCTGACTTTATCTGCTTTGAGTTATCTTGAAGGGGTGAGTATAGTTTTGTCTTATTGCCCTCAAATCCAGTAACTCTGGGTTTTCCTAGGGCTGCATTGGCCTTCTCCTGGATCCTTTTCCCACACCCACAAAGCTTGCTTATGGACTACTGAGCTGTCTGTCACACGCCACTCACAGGTTAAGGTGTCAGGTCAGACCACTGGGTCTGAATCCTAGTTCTGCAGTTTATTAACGCTGTGTGATTTCCAGTATGCTCTGAACCTCTCTGATCCTACTTCTCTGCTGAAAGGATCACTGATGTCTATCTCATTTGGTTGGGAGGAGAGGAAACAGCTCCCTGGGCAATGCTGAGACCAGGAAGCCTGCAGGAGGCTTTGTTATTCTCGGCTGCCTTATGCTGAGGAGACAGGAGAGGGTCTCCTTCTGGCCTACTAGAGTCACGTTTACGTTGGGTTTCTTACTGCCTCTGCCTAGACTGAAACACGCTGTGGTCTGCTGTGACCTCAGAAACATCTAGAAGTAGCAGAGGCAGCCAACGGGCCTCAGAAGCTGAAAGCAAGCAGAGGAACTCTTTTGAAGCTTGTGTGGACCCCGGGGTGGAACATCTACTCCCCTGTAGCAAACACCTCCAGAACCCTCCAGAAATCAGTTTCACTTTTAGCAAGACCCCAGCTCAGCCGTGGGTGACAGGGCTAGCCCCCACATACACAGCTCTCTCCAAATGGTGAGTCCTTGGCTGACTGGGCTCCTAAAGCCTCTTCCCCCTGTGCCCTGCCCTTCTGGTGGGCTTTTCCTGCTCTGTTCCCCACGGGACGGCGGGTGCAGACTTGGGCACTACTTCAGGCTCTGTCTGCGGCTCGGGTCAGAGAGCCCTTGCCTCTCCGATGTCAGGCTCAGCGACTCTGTAAAATTCAGTCCTTGGATTGTACCTAGAAGCATTGTGCCCTGATCTGTCCCTGAGCACGTCACAGCACAGACCGGCGCTTTGGGGTCCTAGGTTTTGAGTTCCTGCCACGTTTACAGCAAACGCTCTCTGCCTCAGCTTTGTGAGCGTGGGTCTGCGTGTTCAAAGCAAAGGGTGTTCACTCGGGCAATGCACACCGTTAAAATGTCGGCAGCCTATCCAGACATCCCGTCAAAGCTGTATTAAGGCTCCATCTTACTTATCACTACGGATTTCACTAAGAAAACCAGGGGCCAGCCATGGTGGCGCATGCCTTTGATCCCAATACGCGGGAGGCAGATGCAGGCAGATCTCTGTGGCCAAGTTCAAGGCCAGCCTGGGCTACATGAGACCCTGTCCCCAAAGAACTAAACCCAGCTTGCACTCTCAGATAATAGGGACCAGACCCCTGTTTGCCTTTTTATTTTAAGCATACTGCCTGTTGGGTGTTGGTATATTTGTTGTGCACTCGTGTGTGGGTGCTGTGCAGGGTTAAGCAGTACTCAAGACACTAGTGTGAGCTTTGAAGTGACAGGTCAGTGGGGCAGAGCTGACTGGAAAAGGCAGAGAGAGGCCGGGCGGTGGTGGCACACACCTTTAATCCCAGCACTTGGGAGGTAGAGGCAGGCGGATCTCTGTGAGTTCAAGGCCAGTCTGGTCTACAGAGCAAAATCCAGGACAGGCACCAAAGCTACACAGAGAAACCCTGTCTCG